CTACTCAAATCAAAAGGAAGAATTACATAAACTTAAACCCGCAAGAGACTAGGTCCTTCTGAAACGTATTCAGAGTTCTGTTATGACAACACTAGAAAAGGACCCCATGGACCCCTCAGTGGTGTAAGAAAATTGCCTTGGAAATGGGCTGTCCACAGGTAAGCCCACCTAGTCAAATGGGCTTTGGCTGATGAGCAACCTCAGCCCCCTGAGTAGTTACTGGTGTTTCTCAGGGGTGATAAACCCTATTTGCTTGCAACAGTGACTTATACTTGCCTGCTGGAAGTAAAACTGGATAAATGTGTTTTAATCCCAAGAGATTTTATAATTAAATATAGAATGGTTGGAGTACATTACACCTACAACATTTTTTTAAGTAACGAACTATAGAGTAATCACTATGTGCTGTACTTTATTAAGCATTTCATAAATACTAACTCATTTAAATCCTAATTCTCATTACATCTCTATGTGGTAGTAGGTACTATTATCCCTATTTAGAGATGAGACTGAGGCACAGAGAAGTGACTTACCCAAGGTCACAGAGCTAGTAAATAAAGAGCCAGGCATTCTGGCCTCAGAGTCTGTGTTCTTTACCACACTATTCCACACTTTTGCATTAAATTTAGGAATAATCTGTAAAAGAACCTTTAAATAGTTAAAGTTGTATAAAAACACTGGGTTCATTAGATTATCTGTTGTATTAACATTGTGATTAAACATTTTAAAGTTCATTGAGTAATTGACTTGATTTCATGATTTTAGGTTGAAAGGTATAGAGATTTTGATTAAGAGTAATAAAATGTTTGAGAGAAATTAAAATTAGCTATAGTTATAAAAATGTCCCTGTCCTAATCCCCAGAGCCTGTGGATATGTAATTCTCTTTGGCAATAGAGAATTAAGGTTGCAAATGGAGTTAAAGTTGCTAATCAATTGACTTTAAAACAGGGCAATTATCCTGGATTATTTAGGTGGGATCAATGTAATCACAGGGTCCTTAAAAGTGGGAGAGAAAGGCAGGAGAGAATCTAAGAGATGGCAGAGAAGAAGGATGTGGCCCAGCAATGCTGGCTTTGAAGATGGAGGAAGATGTCCATGAGCCAAGAAATGTGGGAAGCTTCTAGAAGATGGAAAAGGCAAAGAAGCAGTCTCCCCTAGAGCCTCCAGAGGAGTGTAACCCTACTGATACTTTGATTTTAGCCCAGTGAGGCCAATTTCATACTTCTGAACTGCAGAACTATACAAATTTGTGTGATTATAAGTTACTAAGTGTGTGGTCATTTCTTACAGCATCCATAAAAAATGAATACAATACTAAAATCTCTAAGCAAATTGTAAGTAGGACAGATTATCTAAGGGAATTTATTCCCTTCAAGCTGGGTTCATTGAATAATCATAGAAAATGGGAATATGGCAATCCTTATATTCTAGATTTTAAAATAATATAATATTCTTAAGTGAGCTTTAAAACTTTATTTTAAGATATTTTCATAATAATATTCCTTAAAAAAACTGCTAATAGTGTTTTCTGAGCACAAATTCTGACCACGAATATTTTTTAAAATTCACACCATGATTATTTACTATGTTTTTAAATAATTTGGCTACAATCATTGACATTATAGAGTAGTCATTAAATCTTACCATGTGCTGTGACATTTAAGTCCTTAGGCAGGTTTAATTCAGTTCAGCAAACATTGATTGAGAGCTTGCTGTGATCCAGGCTCTGCCTCAGTCCTTGCCCTAACAAGGGAAGACAGACATGGGAGAGGAGTTTCCCCAGAAAGTGTTAAGGGTCACACTACATTTTGGAAGTATAGTAATATCTTGGTTTGCGAGCATAATTCGTTCCAGAAACAAATCACTCATATTGCAAGACATGGCTCGTTTACCACGTTAAAATGTATTAGAACTGTTTGCTCATCTTGCGGAACACTCGCAAAACACGTTACTCGCAATCCAAGGTTTTACTGTATTTCTATTAAGCCTCAGTCTTTGCCTCATACAAGAAGAGTTCATTCCTGCTTAACTACTATTGCCTTTACCCTTTTCTTTTGTTTTATGTAAAATATCTTAGTCTTTTCCTAAGTTTTGTAATTATATATATATATATATATATAATTTTTTTCCCCCATCCAGCTTCCATTCCTTTTTGAGCACTGACTGTAAGAAGATAGTTGAAACAATAGAGACAGTTAAGTACTACTCCTCCTATTCTATCCTCTTCAACTTGTGGTAAGATGTAATGATGACAACTGGCAGCATTTCCCTCTAAGTTCAGGAAGCCTACAAGCAGGTTTTCCTAAATGCTGAACACTATGGGGACCACAGCTGATTGTCAAGGGTCTGATGTGGCTTTTCCTGGGAGAAAATACTTCAGCACAACTTGGCAAAGAGCTCTGGGCTTCTTGGTGGACAGAGCTGTTTTTCTGTATGTGACAAGATGACGGATATTCACAGGCCTTGGTGGTATGGAATGCTAGATGAAAGGCCTTACTACTTGTTTGTCCTATGCCATTTAAATTTGTCTGTTATAAAGGTGGTGCTAGAATTCTGCTGTCTCATGCACTGACCTTGATGGTAGAATTCAGAAGCAGCACAGGCCACCTTGAATGTGTGCCAAATGTGAATCTGTTCTCATTTGACTTGCTAATAGGTAAGGAAGATGCATTGTCACACTTGACCGAGTGCCATTCTGCTTTTGATGAAGCAGATGAGATAGGCTGGCTTCCTCTGCATAAAGCTGCAGTGCAATTAAATAAGAACATTTTGGAAATAACCCTGAAAGGTAAACTCCCTTTATGACTCTTCTTGACGCTTCTGAGAAATTTAAAATTATTTCTATATCTTAACTTGTGTGGTCTAATGGATTTATTTCAGCTTCAAAACCCAGTGTGTGGGAGCAAACCACCCACAATGGTGAAACGCCACTTTTTTTGGCTGTCAGCAATTGCCTCTTAGAAAACGCCAGTTTTCTTCTTCTCAGTGGCTGCAATCCGAATGCCAAGAATGTCGAAGGCAATTCTCCTCTTCTTACAGGTAAATTGACACCTTGTCTCTGGAGAACAGTCTGTGGCTCTGAGTCTCCTTCACGCCGCAGGTTTCAGAGGCAGCTTTTTGTGTCTAGTTGCAGCACTGTCACTTTATCCCAACTGACCAAACATAGGAACCTAGCCTTCAAGAAGCTTTCTGTAGGCTGGACTGTGAGGTGGTCTGACGCAAAATCTCTGCCCACCTAGGAACTGATCCTTTTTCTGGGGCCTTAATTGATCCAGTTAATTCTGGTGTATGAACTATAAGAGGGGAGCCAAGTAGGGAAAAGCAGCCAGTGGTAGGGTAAAGAAGGCAAACTGAATACAGATGACTGATTTTGCTCCCTCCTGAGTCTTCACTAAAATTATAGTTAAGTGATTATTTTAAGGAGGTAAGATACAAAAGAATGGGAAGAACAGGAGAGGAGACAACAACGATATGATTTTTTTAAAACCTGGAGAGCAGATGGATGAGTAGCGACAAAAAAGCCAAATCTTAAATTTGTAGAGGGGAAAGCCAGCACAGTGATATCAAAAGGCCTGAAAATTATTGGCAATGGTTACCTCATGTTGCATAGGAGAAGGGACAGGCCACTAAAATAGGAGGATTGGCTGAAAACTATTAAGATACAAGTACTCTGATCTCTAGATCACTTCTCTGAGTCCACCCTGCTGGGATAGGCTCATCCTGCAGCACAGCAAAATTCTGTAGGTTTATTCTCTGGATAGTTTAAACAGAGGCTTTCCCATTAGGGGAGGGTGGGAGTACTGGATTGAAAACACTGGAGGAATTAGGCAAACATAGGCTGTGACCTCCCAGCCCTTCTCCTCCACCAGGATTCTAAAAGCTGACAGCCAGAACTTAGCCCTTCAAGAGGAGACTTCTGTGGAGAATCTGATCAGCCCCAAAAGAAAGGACTAACGATAGTGAAATTGGGGGTTCCCCAACAAATGGCCCAGGTACACCAACCTACAATTAAGACCACAGTCCACAAGCCCCACCCAATGTTTAGAATTTCCAATCAACTTTTTAGTCCCCAACTCCTAATCACAAGCAGATAGCCAAGGACTATCTGAGGAAAGTCTTCAACAGATAACAAGCAACATGGAGGAAACAGATTACTTAGGGAAAATAAAACATAAGGGAAAATTAAAACTAATTTCCTCAGAGAAATTAATGAAAATTAATGAAATAACAGACTACCAAAAAAAATCAAAGAACAAAACAAAAAATGCTCTTAAAAATTAAAAATATGACGGGCCGGCCGAGTGGCGCGATGGTTAAGAACTCGCTTGGGATGCCAGAGGGCCCCGGTTCGGATCCCACATATGAGGGCCAGTGACACTGCCCTCTACAGCTAAGATGCTGAACAACAGCTCAACCTGGAGCTGGGCTGCCGTGGGTCGCCGGCGACGGCGTGGGCTGCAGCCCCTGTGGCAGTGGGTTGCCATGGGCTACCGTCTGTAGCCAGCAGCCGGCGTGAGCGGCCAGCAGCCGCAGTGAGCGGCCGTCCAGAAGCCGGCGACTGATCTGCCTCACCCAGGAAGAGCGCAATGATGGTGCCAACTTGGGCCAGTGAAGCAACGTCCTCCACAACTAGACTGAAGAACAAAAAAACAACAGCAACTTGTCTGTTCCCCTTCCCCCAATTCCCCAGCACTGTTCCCATCCCCCCAATTCCCCAATAAAAAAAAAATTAAAAATATGACAGCAGAAATAAACTCAAATCAAATGCTGGGAGATAGACTTTAGGAAAGCTTCCAGAAGATAAGAAATGGAAAATAAGAAAGAAAAAGAAATTAAACTAGAGGGACAATCGAAGAGGAACAGCATGTAAATAATAGGAATGCTAGAAAGAGAACACACAAGATAGAGGCAGTACATCATCATTGAAATAAGTTAGGAAAATGATTTCCTAAAACAAAGGACATGTGTTTCCAGAATGAAAGGACACACTAGTTTCCAGCTAAATGAATTAATAAAGACCCAACACCCTTGGCACTCTGTATTTCCAGTCTTCGAGCAATTAGAGCACTTTCTATGGCACTTTATAAATAATTATGAGTGGAATCATACTGATTCAGCATCTGGCACCTAGCAAGAGTCCTCACATGGAGTCAGTTGCTGTCGATGCCAATAATTAGTGACTGGATAGGGAGATGAATAAATTAAGGCGTTTTAGAATCTTGAAGGGTTAAAGATTATCATCCAAATGTGAAATAACAGCATAAGTACAAAAAAAGCCAGTTAGAGAATTTTGGTTAACAAAATATGAGATTAAAATAAATTTCCTAATGTTTGCCGTTTTTGTTTTTCTTCTTTTAAAGCAGCTATAAGCATTTCTTAAGTTCCAATTCTCTTGAGAACATAAAGATGATAAATAAAAATTGTATATGTTTCCGTTTTCAGCCACATACGCTGTGAATACAAATGAATGATTGGTTATGGCTTACAGAAAAACGAATACCCTATTGACATAAAACACTATTAATATTATTTGATCTATGCCTCACTTTATAATCTATTTCCAAACACGAAATGCTGGCATATGGAGTAGGTAGGGAGAGTTCAAGAAGCCTGAGGGATACTTTGGCCTGAACTTCCTGTTGAACATAATGCCTACTTCACTTTTAATTTCCCAGCTGTTCTACAGGACTCCTACGATACGGCCGCCTTGCTGATCAGCCATGGGGCAGATGTCAACCTGCGGTGTGCCAACGAGAGGACCGCTCTCCACGAAGCAGCCAAACTGGGCAGACAGGACATGGTGAAGCTAATGCTGGTTTCCGGGGCTTATCCGGATCTGCAGAGCTCCTATGGATTCACTCCTCTTGCTCTCGCTGCCCAAAGTGGGCACACTGAAATCATGAAAATATTACTGCAGAAAGGCAAGATTTTCTGTACAGTTAGCACACTACCAAGGGGGTATTGTGACCCAAACGTTCTCTTCTTCATGGAGAGCTTCAAAATAATAGAACTAAACATTTTATTGGGTTGTCAGAAAAGTCATGATGCATTTTTGCAATGAAAACCATAGAAAAAACATGTCATGACTTTTCCGACAGCCCAGTAATTATGCCTAGTATAAATACTTGAAAGATATATATGTTAATATTGGCTACTGAAAAGCCCAAAATAGTCAGAGGTTGAATATTTATTTGGTGTGCAGTAATATCCCTAAAATGACTAGGATGCATGCAGGTTACACTTACTTAATGTCCCTGACAATGCTGAGAGGATGGTTGTCTTATGTTTAACTTTTTCAGGTTGTTCTCCTTTTCTAGATTCATAGAATGAAAGACCCCACAACATCCTCTACTTGTTGTCTCTGCTTAAGCTAAGTCACGAGGCAGTCCAATCTATTATCAGATGACTTTCATTGTTAGGAAATTCTTACTGATTTCTTTTTTTAAGTCCCAGTTCTCCCCTCTAGTAACAACCAAAACTCTGAGAAAAGGGGAAGGCAACGTGTATTCATTCAGCACTTTCTAAGCACCAAGCATCAAGCTACCTATGTCGCCACATGTAATCTTCTAAAAGCCCTCTGAGATAAGCATTATCCTCATTTCAAACTTGAGGGAAGTGAGAGTCAGGGATGGAACCAGTTGTGCCACTTCCCTTCAAACACGTCCTCCCCTGCCACCAATGCTACAGCTGTGGCCATTTTAGATCCTGGCTTAACTGGCAGACACCTTCGCTCAGAGAACTTTAGCATTTATCGTCTTTGAGGAGACCCCATTGATGACACTGTTAGATGAAGCAATGTAGTATCTAAAGGTTTTTGTTTTTTTTTTTAAAGTAAATTTCTACTAAGGCTTAATAAAGTCCCAGTATTAGAATTATCACCTTTATTCTCCTCCCTGTTTGTATCCAAAAGCCTTATTTCTTCCTTTATCAATAGATGGTCCTGGTCTCCAATATTCTAGACTACAGGACAACCTTCTGCTTTTTAGACTTATCTGTTATATAGGGAAGGCTAGTTTCCAATCAGTGGCCATGACACTTTAAGACATTTTAAATGAGCAGTAAATATCAGAGATGTCTAAAGTCATTAGCTGGAATAACAAAAGTAAATATTGGACCCTTCATCTACACAAAAAGAGTACCCTTTGATTAAAATATGAAGAGGAGAGCCAAAAGATTTTAAATTGTTAGCTCTTCAAAGACACCCGCACTCGTGGACCTAAGTCAGGTCAGTGAGTGAACATTTCCCTTAAGTGACCCCCTTACAAAGTAATTTGCATAAAGTGACATAGCTAATAAATGGCAGAACCAAGATGTGAACCCACATCTGTCTCATTCCAAATCATGTGACTTTACCACCCCACACTGCTCGAGTGACAACACAGCATCGGAGCAGTCGGCCTGGGTCTGGCCCACCTACATGAGTCCTGTCTTGCTTACTAGCTGTGTATCTCTGAGGAAGTAACTTAACCTCAATGATCCTCAATTTATCTATCTTTAAAATTAAGATATTAGCATCTACTTCTTAGGGTGTTGTGAAGTTTAGAAATTATTATGCACATAAAGGAAGCGCAGTACATAGTGAGCACTCATTACATGGAGGCTTATTAGACATCTCTTAATGCAGTCTAGGAATGGGGTCCTTGGGCAGCCACTGTATTCTGATGACAATGGAGTTTGTGCTAAATGAAACTCATTATATCTTGTTTATATGAGCTGTGAATGTACCCAGAATGCTCGACTTTCCTTTTGCCCTATTCAAATGCTACTCTTTTTTCAAAGCCCATTTCACAACTGACCCAAACTCCTTTCTCCTTTTTTCACCCCCCAGTTCCCCTCACCAACGCCAGCCTTAAGATCTTTTAGAGGACATTTTGCCTATACCTATACAGGAATACCTTGTTTTTGTTCTGCTTTGCTTTATTGTGTTTCACATATGTATTTTTTACAAATTGAAGGCAAGACCTCCACCAGCAAAAAGGTTACCACTCGCTTTATTTCAATACTCGCTTTATTGTGGTAGTCTGGAACCAAACCCGCAATATCTGAGATATGCCTGCACTCTTATTACCCACACCACTAACATGCCACTTCGCATATGGGGTGCTACAATTTATCCTTTTAACTATTAGCAGTCCCCAACTTCAGCTAAAAAACAATTACATTGTCTCTTGCTATAAACAGCCCTCTAAGAACAAGTTAAAACAGAAAAAAACTTCCTTTTCCATAGATGGCTCGAAGAGTGATACACTTCAGCAGGATTGTCAGTGCCATTCTATAGACAAATGTGTTACGAGTTAAGTGAGCTTTTGTAAGCTGGTCTGAAAATAAAACCACCTTTTATAAAATTATTTCTGCTGAAATTTTCAAGTTCCAAACACATAACTTCTAAAATTACTCTGAAAGCCATCCTCCTTATAACTTAGAGATTGCACTGTTTTTTCCCTCCCCAACTAGATTATGAACTGCTTGAGCAGGAGGTACATATTTTATTTCATTCTTTGATCTGTAGTGCTTTGCTAAAATGCTGCTGAATAATTGCTTTTGTGTGGTGGCAGTGATATATTTTTAAGAATGCTTAAGCAATACAGTGGAAAAGACAGCATAACATGGCTCTTTCCCTTCTTAGGAGCTAATGCTCTTGGTCAGGCCTCTGACTCTTCTTCCATCTTACTTGAAGCTGCAAGTGGAGGAAATCCAGACTCCATTGCTCTCTTGCTAGAGTATGGAGCTGATGCCAACATCCCNGGTCTCATTATTTTTAAAGAGAACATTCTTCTTATATAGTATGCATTCATAATATTAATGTACATTAATAATTTTTAAACATTTCAACAAAAGAAAATTATAGTCAAAATTTTATCATCTTGTATGGAGTTAATTCCTTCCTTAGAATTCCCAGGACACTTTAGGCTGCAGCTCTGTGACCCAAGGAGAATGTACGCGCAGCTACCCAGTGAATCAGGACCATTGGAATAGTCACTTTTGATAACTCCATCAGTTTGTTAAGTTGAAACTTGATTCTGTTTGCACTGGCTTTGTGCGTGAGTCTTAAGAGAATGGATTCACTTCACATGGATAACCCCCTGCCAAAGCATTTTATTCTAGGAATAAAATATTGAATCCTTTCAATTTGATGAATATAGCAGTGAAGAAAAGAGATCATATTTCCAAACAGAGCTAAGCCACGTGTAAAAAACAAGGACAACATGCCAGACTGTCTTATGATCAAGTATTTATAGTAAAGCTATTAATGGAATGGACTTTACAGGGGAGTGGAGATCCTAAATATAAATGAAAATTCTGATGTGCTAATGTTTAACAGTGAAAACTTCAGTGCTGTCCTAAAGGCAATAACAAAAGGTAAGAAGTCTTTGGTATGTGATCAAACCTATTCTATGTAAAAATTGAAATGTTCTTTAAAACCATTGAGATATTGCCTAAGAAAATACATTGGTTTTTACTACCACTATTCCTATTACATATTGTATTATAAAAGTACATTTATTCCTATAACATGTTTATTTTTATTTACTAACTAAACAAAATATGTTTTTTTCAGCATAACACTCTCTGTATGTAGGAAAGATGTTCTTTTGGGTGAGTGCTACAATCAATGAGGAAAACTCATAAGCCAAGTCTAAAATAGATCAATATGAGCATTTTCATATTTATAATGGCACTGATCTAAGTTTTATATGAAAGGTCATTTTTTCTAAATAAGTTTTAAGTAAATGGCTACTCATGGAAACTTCTAATTTTGAATCTGGCAGTTCAGAAAATGATTTTTAAGTTTATGGAAAAAATTTTTANAACAGACAAGTTGCTGTCCTTTTGTTCTTCAGTCTAGTTGTGGAGGACGTCACTTCACTGGCCCATGTTGGTATTGTGATCATTGCGCTCTTCCCTGATGAGGCAGATCAGTCGCCGGCCTCTGGACGGCCGCTCACGGCGGCTCTTGGCAGCTCACACCGGCTACTGGCCGCTTATGCCGGCTGCCAGCCACACAGGGTAGCTTATGGCAACCCACTGTAGCAGGGGCTGCAGCCTATGCCGCAGCCGGGGACTCACGACAGCCCAGCTCCAGGTTGAGCTGTTGTTCACCATCTTAGCTGTGGAGGGCAGTGTCACTGGCCCTCATATGTGGGATCCGAATTGGGGCCCTGCTGCTCAGAGCTGGCTTCCCAAGCCAACTCTTAACCAACACGCCACTTGGCCGGCTCCAGGCATATTCTTTAGCCACTGAAGAGACATAAAACTATTTTATTATCAGGTCCTCAGGCAATATGAGGAGCCTCAAGTCTCACTTACTGGCCTAAATGAGTTTATAATCTAGACAGTAGTTTCATTTAATTTTATTTGGTATCTGAGCTTTTGGATTCAGGAATTAGACTTTCTTTGGTTGCGGGTTCTACATACTACCTAATAGTAATACCATCCAGTGCTAGTATAAGATAGTCATAAAGATGTTAATGCTTCATCTTCACAAAAACTACTTGTAAAAGCACTTTGAAATTCTTTCTCAGAGCTCTACAGATTTTGGTTCCAGTTACGGATTTTGCAGCCATTAAGCGGAGTGGCATTAGTCCGGTTCACTGTGCAGCGGCAGGAGCACACCCTAAATGCCTGGAACTGCTCATCCAGGCTGGATTTGACGTAAATTTCATGCTAGATCAGAGAATTCGCAAACACTATGATGACCACAGGAAGTCAGCTTTGTATTTTGCTGTATCAAATGGTGATCTCCCTTCAGTTAAGCTGCTTCTGAGTGCTGGAGCTCTGCCTAACCAAGACCCAGTTAACTGCCTCCAGATAGCCCTGAGGATGGGCAATTATGAGCTGATCAGTCTGCTGCTGCGGCATGGGGCCAACGTAAATTACTTCTGCAGAGTCAACCCTTTACATTTCCCATCAGCACTGCAATACACACTGAAAGATGAAGTCATGCTCAGGATGCTACTGAATTATGGATATGACACAGAGCGATGCTTTGATTGTCCTCATGGAGACAAAGTTCATCTTTTCTACACCTTTGAAGGCTGGACACCGACAGTTATCAAAGATACTATGGTAAGTCCTCAGTATTGGCTGTATCACCTTATACAGTCATTCTTGGTGGCCCTGAACTACAGCAATAGATGACTCCATCCATTCTCTCTAGAAGCTCGTTGTCGGCTTTTAAAATATGGTAAAATAAACACAATAGGAGAAAGATGAAAAAGGTATGGAAACAGTTCAGAGAAAAACAGTAATTTAACTCAACCTAGGGAATTAAACAAATGAAGCAACATCAGAGCAATGTGTTGAAGAATGAATGCCGTCTTGTAAACCATTTATGCTTTTTGAGTAAATGTTATCTAGCTTCTGGTAAAATGTTTCTAGGTTTCTGATACCTGTACCCCTAGGTTTTTAGCCCTAACATTTAACTAAATATTTTCTTTAGTCACCTTTTTGATGAAAAAAACAATAGTTGACCACTCCCTCCTTGAGATATTTTTCTCTTGGCTTTCACCACACCAGTCTACTGTTACCCTTACCTAATTCCCCCTTCCACTTTCCCCAACTTGAGCTCTACCCCGCCCCACCCCCCACCCCTTTTCACATAATTGCCACCCTTCAGGTTTCATTTCAAGTGTTAATTCTTCAGAGGTCCTTATGTAAGGTAGTTCCCTTCCCTTATATTGTTCATTTCTTTTATAGAACTTAAGACTCTCTGAAATTATCTTTTTAAAATGTCACTGATTATGTACCCTCCACCCCCACACACACATACAAATACATGAATGTAAGCTCTTGTTTATCACTTTCCTCAACTTACAGATCTGTGCTTAGCACAGCAGATGCACTGCAGAATTAGTGTTAACATCTGGAAATAGAAATGGAGAAAGTACTTTGAATCGCTTCTGAAAAGTGAAAGGCAAAGTATTTTGATATTGTATGATTTATTATTTGTAGGTTATGATTGATGTAGAATATGGTATTTAGGCATATATCTTGTATTATTTCATCTAGTATTAGTTGACTTCTTATAGTGGACATCTTGTCTAAGAGCAAGTAAATTATTTAAAAGACAGAAACTATCATATCCGTCAAGTATCAGGGTGTGAATAGGTTATGAATGATAGTGGCTTTAATAAGCTGGCTCATTCCCATGTCTTATAAAGGCCTGAAGTAAATTAGCAGACCCTCGCCTCCTCCTAACTAGACAGCCCCATGATTGCACCCCCATTCCAGCCAGCAGACAGGCAGGCAGGAGCAAGCAGCACACATCTTGATCTTTTCAAAGGTCCTTCTAGAAGTTGCTCACATTTCCATCTCATTGGCTAGAACTCAGGTGGCCACATCTCGGTGCAAGAGAGGTAATCTTTATTCCAGACAGCCATGTGGCAAAACAAAAGGGATAATAGATATTGTGTTACACTTTTTTTATACCTTCATTACATCTTACATAGTTCTGAAGACACAGTAGTAAATATTTTTCCAAATGTTAGAGCTAAAAAGATTTTCTTGCTCAACACCTTAGTTTATAAATGAGAAACTTGAGAACTTGGATTCTGACTATGAAGTTTAGTGCTCTTTTGATTACTATGCTAAAACAGTTTTTCATTTGCTTTCATAGTTCTGATTTTCTTCCTCAGTTCTGCGAAGTAATAACTTTGTCGTGGCTACAACATCTCTCTGGAAAGGTTGTTCGAGTAATGCTTGATTATGTTGATCAAGTTCAAATCTGTTCAAAGTTGAAAGCTGTGCTCCAAAAACAGGGGCTGTGGTCAGAAATCCATAACATCTTAAGTGAGTATCTTTCTTGTAGAAGATTCTTACCAAAAATACTAATTGTATTATTTGTAGAACACTCCTCTCTGACTTAAAGAAACCAAGAAAAATACTACTATCTAAAAAATGTGATTGTAACTACACTTAATTTTTACTTATTACCATTTTCCAGTAAATAAAAGCTGCTAGTTAACCACTTCTTATATAGGTAGGTGATACTTTTCTCCTAATCCTATGGAACACTGTAGACACAGGAATCAAAAGCTATAAAATAGCAATAAAAACAGAGACAAGAAAAAGCTAAGATCTGAGCCTGTAGATGTAAACAAATAACCCTTCAAACAATTCTTTCACAGTAGTAGCATGTAAGTCAAATTTAAAAGAATTTCTTTTATTTAATTTCCTCCTAGGTAGTTTTCAGCCTGACCCTGAGGAGCAGGACAGGCTGGGGTGGGCGGTGGGGGGTAGGGAGTGAATCTATGCAGATTTAAGAACTTCAAGTCTCACAGGCTAGCCCCACAAATGCCAGTCTTTGTACTCTAACTTGACATGCCTCTGAAACCATATCTACAAGAAGAGTTGCAATGTGAAGTAAAAAGCTGTTACCCTATTAACTTTTTCCATTTAGTAACAGCAAATGAAAATCTTGGTGGCTTCCGTATAAAATATACTTGCTAACTAAACCCTAAAATCACTGAAAAAAAAAATCAACTTTTTCCTTTTGGATAATGTGCCTGTTTCTTTCATTTTAGCAAACCCTCGCTCCCTAAAACATTTGTGCCGTCTAAAGATCCGGAAGTGTATGGGACGTCTGCATTTGCGCTGCCCTGTGTTCATGTCATTTCTTCCATTACCCAATCGTCTAAAAGCCTATGTCCTTTACAAAGAATATGACCTCTATGAACAAGGAGCTTTTACAGGAACCTGGTAATCAAACAGATGAAATGGTATAGTTCTGTAGCTGTATTTCTTAAAATTTGACTTGTTATATGTGATACAGTTTTCTCATTTAACTTAGCAACTAAAAAAAAAAAA